GGGGGGGGTGAGGCCCAGACGCCTGGGCCCAGCCGGTCCCCACCCGGGGGATGTGCTGCATTGGGGTGGGGTGGGGGGACGACGCCACAGGGACGGGAGCGCCGAGAGGCTCACGGGGTTGGGGACGCCACCACACTGCAACACCTACGGGGACTGGCGCGACAATGTGACACCCGTGGGGACAGGCACAACAACGCACACCCGTACAGATGACCACAATAACGTGACACCCACAGAGACAACACCACGCTGCAACACCCCTGGGGATAGGTGTAACTACATGATACTTGTGGGGACAGGCACAACGCGATGTCCATGTGGACAACACCATGCTGCAACACTCATGGACCCAGGCGCAACAACGCGACACCCATATAGATGGGCGCAACAACGTATCACCCACAGAGACAACATCACGCCACAATGCCTGTGGGGATAGGCGCAACACCACGACGCCCATGGAGATGGGCACAACACCATGCTGCAACACCCATGGGGACAGGCACAACAATGCGATGCCCATAGGGATGGAAGCAACACTTTGCCGTATCACCCGTGGGGACGGGCACAACACCACAACACCCATGCACTTGGGACAACTCCACACTGCAACACCCTTGGGGACCAGTATAGCAGCACAATGTTCATGCAGATGGGGACAATGTTACGCTGCAACACCCGTGGTGACAAGGGACAACCTGACAGCCATAGGGACAAGCCACAACAATGCAACACCCGCAGGGACAGGTACAACACTGTGAGGATGGGCACAACACTGTGCTGGGGTCTGGAAGGACAACACAACATTCCCGGGGGCAGGCGCCACACCACAACACCCGCGGGGATGGGGACAATGCGGTGCAGCAACACCTACAGGGACTGGCCCAGCAACACGACAGACATGGGGACTGGCATGACACGGTGCCCCAGCACCCACGAGGACAACATCACGCTGCAACACCCACATGGTCGATCACAACAACGCAATGGCGCCCATGGGGACCGACACAACAGCGTGCCGTCACACCCGCACAGACAAGGACAATGCAGCACCCACGCAGAGGGGTGCCCCGCCGGGGGGGGGGGCCATCGCAATAGGCACCGTGACACGGGGAACAGCCGGTGGCCCCGGGCGAACACGTGTGGCCCCAGGCTGGGGCACGCAACACACATGCGCCCTGGAGAGCTGATCACCATACACATGTGCTGAAGCCGTGCAACATGGTACTGGTGCACACGTGTGCCAGAGAGCATCACCACACGCATGTGCTGGAACCATGCAACATGGTGCTGTGCACGCATGTGCCAAGGGAAATCACAACATGCCTGAGCTGGAGCTGTGCAGCATGGCATTGGTGCACATGCGTACCAGAGAACATCACAACACACGTGTCCTGGAGCCGTACGTTATGGCACCAGGGTATACACATGCTAAGGAGCATCACACGCGTGTGTTTGAGCCATGCAACACAGCATTGGAGCACACGCGTGCCAGAGGGCATCGCCACACGTGTGCCCTGTGCCCGCACGACACCAGCGCGTGCACATGCCAGGGAGCATCCCCATGCACATGCGTGTGCGTCGGCCATGCACCATGGGCGCCCCGCACCGCTGCCCGCGCAGGACCCTGGCGCGCAACACACGCGTCCTCACGCCACCCGACCCTGACACGCACCGGACACACGTGACTGAGCATGACACCCCCCCCCCCCCCCCGCCCCGCGCCCGGCCCCCCCCCGCCCCCACC